TTACAATAAAAGACACCAACTGTAAATGTACAGTTTAATCATGTAAATAGATTTTTAGAATTGTTCAACCATCACCAGAATCCCATTTTTGAGCATGTTCCCATATTCTCTTGAGCCTCTTGCAGTCATTTCCAATCCCTGGTCACCCTGACTGGGACTGAACAGAAGCAAAATTTGGCTAGCAGACATCATGAATTTAAATTTTTATTAGATTGGAACTTTATATAATGAAGCATTGTCCTATGTTTGTGGTAGTTACAGAAGAGATTGCATTCCAGGGTCTTTGAACTGGTTCATCTATGCTGGTAAGTGACACTTGCCATCAAACTTTCTCTGGTGAGACCAAGTGAAAGTGCAAAAAAAAAATTTGCTATAAGAAGTAGAAACAGATGATGATTTTGCACATAATGTTCTGTGGAGTTAAGTGTTGTGTCATCCTTATTCCTTCAGGATTATGGTTGGCAACATGAAAGAGACAGTCGTCTGGTGCCTGACATGCCCTTCATTATCTTCTTCAGGTTTCAAGGGCTCCAGAATGTCACATAGGGGAGCACAGGACTTTTACTGTGGTTCTTTAATTTCTTTTTCTTTTTTCTTTTTTTGGTCTCACTGGGATTAGCATACGTTTATCAGAAAATAAAAAATCAAGAGTAGAGATAGGCACCCGTACTAGCCTTTTATTGCTACATATTAACAAATTAGTGCTTTGAAACCACAGAAGCCTGGAATGAAGTAGCTGGGTTCCCTGATCAGGGTCTCACAAGGTGAAATCCAGGTGTGGGCTGGCTGCGTTTTAATCTGCAAGTTAGGCTACTCTTCCAAGTTCACTACAGATATTGGCAGAATCCATTTCTTGTGATTGGGGGACTGAGGTGCCTTTTTCTTTGCTGGCTATCAGCCAGGAGACATTCTGACTCCAGAGGCTGCCTGCCTTCTCTTTTCCGTCATTCAACCACCAACAGCACATGGAGTCCTTCCCAAGCCCCCGCCCTCTCTGACTTCATCCTCTCCTGCCATCCAGAAAAATCTGGACATATATGGGGTGATGTGATCAAGTCTGGCTGCTCAGGTAACTTCACCATCTTAAAGTCATTTAACTGCCATAAAACAACATAATCACAGTCATGATATCTCACGACCTCTATGGGTTCCAGGGATAAGGGTAGGACTTATTTGGAGACCATTTTAGAAATCCTGCCAACCTCTGGTCACCAGACATTCTCATTACTCCACAATGCAAAATACATATTCCTTCTCTCCTAAAGTTCCCAATTTCATTCCATTAGAGCATTAGTTCAAAGTGAAAAATGTCATGTAGATTACATCTGATCAAATGTTAGTCTCATCCAAATCATCTATATCAGATGTGCCTGAGGCTTCTGAGAGGGTCTATGAGGTACTGATCCTTAACATAATTCCTTTTCCTCTGTCAGCCTGTGACACCAAACAGCTTATCAGTCCCCAGTGGGCAATGGTGGGACAGACGTAACAATTATAGTTCCATAAGGGAGACATAATAAAGGAATAAAGAAATCATTGGCCAGGCTCTGTGGCTCAGCCTGTTATCCCAGCACTTTGGGAGGCCAAAGCGAGTGGGTTGCCTGGGCCTGTGGATTTGAGACCCAATCGGACAACTTGGCGAGACCTTGTCTCTATGATAAATCAAAAAATTAGCCAGATGTGGTAGTGCATGCCTGTAATTCTGGCTACTTGGAAGGCTGAGGCAGAAGGATTGCCGGAGTTCAGCAGGTTGAGAATGCGGTGGCCGGGAGCATGCCACTGCACGCCAGTCTGGGCAACAGAGTGAGACTCTGACTCAAAAAAAAAAAGAAGAAAGAATAGAAATCACTAATCCAAAACAGGTTTGAAATTCACCTGGGCAAAGTACAGCAAGAGTATCTTGATCAGGATCCAGATCCTGGGACTAATCACCTGAAATGGGGCTTTGCTTTGGACTCTTGGCTCCACATTTGTTTTCCTCTTTATTCAAATCATTATGACATTTTCTTTCTTCTCACACTCCTTTGGTTCTTCCTCTTCCTTTTCATGGCCTCATCCTCCTCTTATCTACTTGGAACATCCTCCCCACCAGAATTGGTCAGATATTGATCATGTCCTGGTTCTGTCTACCTCCCACAAGGGCTGTCCTCCTGATTTCATACTCTTCTGGGATTCTCTTTACTGATCTGCCCTCTATCAGTCCTGATCTGATTCAGTTCACCTGGCTGTCTTAGGAGAAAGCCCAGGATTGTAGAGACCCAGAAGCCTGGAATGAAGTGCCTAGTTCTCTGCCTTTCTTTCTTCAAAGGAGGAAGAACATGACAGTGATCATCATAAAGAAATGACCCACATGAGAGTTGAGATTCTCCAGCAATTCCAGTACAGAAAAATATCTTAAAAAGAACAGAGGACCAAAAATCCCAGACTGGGAAAGCAGTGTCATGGTATGTACTACTTAATATCTATGTGTTTTGAGGTCCAAATCAATTCAGCAAGTGAATGAAAACTGAGTGTAAATAATAGGACTATAGAGCTGTGATAAGCCCTTTTAATATTTTTGTTTCCATGGTGGAAATATCCCTGCTTGATTCATAGTCCTCCGAAGTTCAGAGGTGAATTCCTGGAGGGTGAGTTAGGTACTTTGGACAGGGAAGCTGAGGTCAAGGCTTGTTGGTGACTCTGCTGCCTTCAAGTGATAGGGGAGGTTGTAAAAATATTTTTGTATTTCTGGTTATCAGTTTCCACATCAGGAAGATCACGTTATTGTTCTAGTTCTCCAAGGTCACTATCTGCTCAATTTTCTCAGATTTCATTGGGAACTGAGATGTGTATTCAGTGTGACTTGGGATGTGCAGCTGAGAACTAGCCCTGGTCCTTACACTGTGTGTCTTTTGTAGGAGCCTGAGCTAAGTCCATACCCTGAAAACCTAGTGCAGAGGGGAAAATGGAAGGAAAAAAGTCAGCAGGTTTGGGAATGAGCAGAAACCACAAAGGACAAGATAATGGTGGAGCAGATAAAACCCCCAGAAGGTGAGAATTATAATTTTGTATTATTTTATATTCTACTTATAGGTAGAAGGGATAAAGCAACTTTGAAGTATAAAGTGAGAATGTAGGGGGGTCTGAGACTAAAATTCTGGCTCAAGATTCTCAATATTTACTGAATTGTATGCATTCCATGAATGATTGCAGAATAATTATAATGAATAATAACTATGGATTATGAATAATAATAACTGAATAATTACTGCGATTATTTGTATTAGCAATGCTCAAAACTCATCCCTATGTGACTTCAAGTAAGCCTTGTAAATTTGTAGATCTTCAGTTTCATTCTTTTTAGATGAAATTTGGCCAAGTTTTCTTTCTGCAACAGAATGTCAGGTCGAATACTCATCAAAAAAGAGATTTCTTGAAAGCCTTTGGTATATCTTAAAAACTAATATCTTTATACAGTGTAGTTTGAGAATGGCGAGGACTGCCGAGAGACTCGATTTCTAACGTGATTAAACCAGTCCTTCTTCCTTCACTTGCACATGCATGCTTGGTAGCTCATGATCACACCCATGGCACCATCAACACCAGCAAGTCCAGCAACTAAACTGAAGTGACCTGGGCTACAGGACTGTCTCCAAGTCTCAGACTCAAAAAACCTGGTTGGGAATGGAAACTTTGAATATGAAGAGGTATTTGGGGAATTACCATCCCCTGCTGTGTATCCCTGTCACCTTAGCCGCCTCTTCTACTGCACATACACTCTACAGATCACCAGCCACCCAGACCCATTATCTTGACCTTGCTGTGTTCTCTTAGTGGAGTACAGCCATAGGGTAGGACCACTCAAAAAAACCTATCAAGCAATACTTTATAAAACTGCCCATTGGCCTGTTCTTTTCAATATATAGGGGAGCTAGCGGAAAACCAGTAAATGACTTCAGTTTTACAAGACTTCCCAAAATAGATGGCAACTGCATGTTTTCAGGAGATACACATACATGATTTTGATCATTTTATAACTTGAAAAGAGCTCTTTGGGGACTAGAATGACACCCATAACTGACAATGTGAAATGTAGTTTGAGTGACATTCAAAACAATCCAACCCATACATAGAAGAGCCGCTTAGGAGATAGGATGCCAAACTGGACTTAGGTTGAAGGAAAATTCATCATGCTGACCCAGTAAGGGGAAAGAAACCAATGTAACAATGGGATACAGCAGAAAGAATATTGAGACAGGACAAAAACATTTTTAAAAATGAATTACTTATTTGCTTAGTGTTATACACTGATTTTAGTCCTATACTGTTTCGTGAACACAGAAAAACTGTAGAAGACCCAGAGAAGAACATGTAGGTCATGTAGAAGTTTGATATTTCACTTGCAGAAAAATCTTAAGATCTGTTTTAATTTGAAGAGATGGTGGGGTGACTTGATGACAACCACTAATTAAATCAAACCTTTTGGGAAACAATTTCTGCCTTGATTTTATACAAAGGGAAGAACAATGAGACATATATTAGATGAACTAGGAAATAGATAGGTCTGTGGTATTATCCCATGGTGCTCAAATACTAAGAATGAATGTTGAAAGAGTGATGTCTACTGGTGGTGACCAGTAAACCTTGTGTACATTCAAAGACCAGTAGACCTTGTATGTCAGCTTGGCCTAGCCAACCAGAAGGCAGGGGCTCTGAAGATTTCATGACATCCCTACCTTCTAAATCTGTTACTGCTACTGTAGACTGTTACCATCACACTGGGGTACGTGCCTTACTCTAGTGAGAGTCTTATCTCCAGGCAGTGCCTTTGGTTGTGAGCTCTGGCATCTGAACCTAGTCTTGGCAGTTAGTGACTCTGAACTGTTGGTCAAGACTTTCTCAAGCGAAAGTTAAGAATTACAGTTGTTGTCATCCTCCAATCCCAATTAAGCCATTTGTCTCTTTTTTTTGACCCATCAGGTGTTTGGGTTTCTTGTCCCCAGTCCCATGTTCTTCCGAGAATGAACAGCTTAAAAATCAGTCAACACTCTGAGCTGTTGAAGATCAAGCAGCAGTACTGTGACCTAAGTGAGAAACTTATTAAATCAAAACCTACTGCCTATGCCCTGGCCAAGCAGTTGCAGACATACAGTAAGTTCCAAAGATTCACCATCACAAAATGATGCACGATCATCCATCTTCTCTCTGAGAAACTAAACATTCTTTAGGCTTGTTTCTTCTCTCCCCTTTAACAAAATAAATTCATCCCAACTCCATTCCTAGATAGGTAGAACTGTATATTTTAAACATATTTTGCTGAGGATGAAAGACTGAAGCACAAACTGTTTAGTGACCTTTCCAAGTATGTGGGTAGAATGTAGGGAGGGAATAGAGTTAGTATCTCAGATATTGGTTCCTAGTTTTTTTCTGTTTTTCTAAGTAACAGGCTTAAGCCATTTTTATGAAGATCATCTCTGTACTATACAAGATCCTACAGACAAATGGCATTTAGGCTTTTGGTGTAATTGTCTGGGACTCATAAACTTCCATTTAACTCAAGCTTCTATTGAAGCCCAATAGGCAAAGCACTGTGCTGGCCATGCTATGGGAACTGTGGTGACCGTACACAGTACCTGTTTTAAGGGAGCTTGAAGAGGAGTCTGCTCCTCGTGGAAACTGATATCCATAAGTGACACTATCAAGAGCAGGGACTACACTGCTGAGAGGGAAGTGCTGCTCCCTGGACATAGGCTCTTATTCCTAAAGTGGAAGAAAGCAACCAATGCTTGGGTGAGGTGATACAGTACAGTGTGTAGAGTAGGGACTCCTGGACCAGTCTGGGCTAGTCTGGGCCCAATCGATTTACTTAACTTCTCTGTGCCTCAGTTTCCTCATTTTTTTTTTGAGTTGGAGTCTCACTCTGTTGCCCAGACTGGAGTGCAGTGGCACACTCCCAGCCACCACAGCCTCAACCTGCTGAGCTCCGGCGATCCTTCTGCCTCAGCCTTTCAAATAGCCAGAACTACAGGCATGCACTACCATGCCCAGCTAATTTTTTTTTTTTATTTATTGTAGAGACAAAGTCTCACCAAGTTGCCCGGGTGGGTCTTAAACACATGGGCTCAGGCAATCCACTCACCTCGGCCTCCCAAAGCACTGGGATTACAGGCTGAGCCCCTGAGCCCAGCCTCCTCATGTTTTAAGATGCTCCTATAATGGTAGTTACCAATTGGAGTTGATGCAATGAATTCTACAATGTTCTTTTTGTAAAACTCCTAGGACAGTTTTAGGCACAGAATAAACACTATTAGTTCCTCATTCCACGATCTCTTTTTTTTTTTTTTTAGTTGGAGGCTCACTCTGTCGCCCAGGCTGGAGTGCAGTGGCACACGCATGGCTACCCCAGCATCAACCTGCTGGGCTCTGGCAATCCTTCCACCCCAGACTTCCAAGTAGCCAGAACTACAGGCATGCAGTATCACATTCAGCTAATTTTTAATTTATTGTAAAGACGAGGTCTCAAACCTGCAGGCTCAGGCAATCCACTCACCTTAGCCTCCCAAAGCTCTGGGATAACAGACTGATCTACTGACCCTGGCCTCCATGTGTTCTAATGTAACACACACTTGATTAGTAATGGGAGATATTTATTTGGGGCTTTATGTTCCTATGTCTTATATGTTACATGATTGTATTCCAATAGTATTTCAAAAAAAATCTTTAGGTGTTTGTGCTTGAAATCACCAGTAACAAGGGACCCACAAGTCTTGGGGCCTTCTCAACTGTCTAGGAAATCATGACTTCATGGCCAGCACAGTGTTTTTCATAAGAGCTTCAAGATTTGGTAAAGTGGTACAAGACTCAGAGTCAGATATTAGGGAACGTGAATGCTGATGCTGCCAAATACAGTAGAATTATCTTGTCACCTGCTTTTGAGTTTCTTTTTCCTCATCTCTAAAATGGGGAGTATTCAATGCCATGTAGTTGGCAGGTTGGGAAATAAAGATGTGGAGATTCCTGCCTGGAGGCTGGAACTGGGGTTCCTTTACTCTTTGTGATGGTCCCTCGTCCTTCCCTGTAGGCAGTGACTACAGTAGCATGGCCAGTTTTCCACTGAAGCTGGTGTGTCTGTCTTTTCTCAGAGTGTAAAGGATACAAAGAACTTATAGAACCTGTGTTGGGGGAGGAGCTGTAGTTCCAGGAGGGGGAGCAGGTGCAGAAGTCTACAGGTACTAAGAAGCTGAAGTAAGGAGGTTTATGTGCTCAGGTGAGAAGATGTGAATCTCTGAAGAACCCAGCTCAGGTGGGAGAACTAAGAACTAACATGGGCCAAAGGAAAAGCAGGACTCTCCATGGTAGGCGTATGACACCCAATATTCCTAAAACAATTAGAGAACAAAGTCACAGTAAATTATGAGCTGAGATTATTACTCAGATCCCTGTTTTCTCTTTTCTACCTGTATTAATTTTAAAAATATATAGTTAGAGACAGGGTCTGGCTCTGTCACCACACTAGAGTTCAGATGCCTGAAGATATCTCACTGCAGACTCAAATTGCTGGGATCAAGTCATCTTCCTTCTTCATCCTTCCATGGAGTTGAGACTAGCTAATTTTAAAAATTGTAATAGACAAGAGAGTTTCTCTGTGTTTCTTAGGCTGGTCTCACACTCCCAGGCTCAAATGATTCTTCCACATCAGCCTCCCAAAGCACTGAAATTACAGGAATGATTTACCTGGCCTGTTTTCTCTTTTTAAAATGAATAGTTCTTGAGAAGAAATTTACATAACACAAAATAAGCCAAAGCAGCATTTGGTGTCCTCAAAATGTTGTACAGTCACCAGCACATTTACTCTTTATCAGAATCACCTCTTAACTGAGTTTGGCTTCCCATTCTTTCATTCAAAGAATTTGTGTTGGCAGATTGGGAAATAAAGATGTGGAGATTCCTGCCTGGAGGCTGGAACTGGGGTTCCTTTACTCTTTCTTTTTTTCTTTCACCTTTTCAATTAACCCCACTTGTACCTGGCCAGATTTCTGTGTGTGGCTTTCTGTCTAAAAACTGAATAATGTGCCGTGTATATTTTTGCATGGATATATCCGTATCTATAGTGAGGAGGAAAAGGGACTGAATTCTCCGGAAACAAACAGATTCAGGAAAACAACTAGGTTTTCTTTCTTCTTTTCAGACAAAAATATAAACAGAATATTGAGGATTCTTATAGAAGTACTTACAAGTAGAGAAGAAGACATCTAAATAATCAAACATTTTCCTTCTTTTTGCCACAGGCATTTCTCAAATTTAGGTGCTAAAATTCTGCTTGGAGGGCTCCTTGTGTACACTCTCACAGAAACCTCTGTTGCAATACTTAGAACTTATCACCCATCCCTGTTCACTCTTCATTTTCTCTACTTTCTCACCTAAGCGACTAAGGATTATTAATAAAAACTCCGGCAAAAGAGCTGGCACAATTAAAGAAGCTTCAGGAAAGGAGATATATTTCCTTCTTACTCTTTGAGCATCTCCATGTACTCCTTACTTATTGTGACCATGATGACCATGATGACTTCCAGGGGCAGTTCCTCAAGGAGCAACTAGCAGAGAGGCTCAGGCTGGCAAGTCACCTAGTCCACACAATCACTGCAGACTCAAAACTCTAGGCTTAAGAGCACTCCAGACTTCCACATCTCCATGAATAACAATTTTATCAGGGAACTTTTTTCCACTAAACATTTGTGGACATGACATGACATGACTTCCTAGGAAGGAATAGGAAAAAATAATGGAATGAGCAAGATTTCTGTTTAACATTTAATCTCTTGGACCACTGAACAATTAATTATCAGTGATCCTTTGGTCAACATGGCAATTTGTTATACTCTGCTGCCAATTGACTGTAGCATCATTGTCTGCACCTCTGTGGAGGATGGGACCAAGGTTGTAATAAACATGTCTTTAAGATCTATGTTTTCAAAGAGTGAGATTCCAGCTAAGTTTTTTAAAAAGGATCAATGTTCTGTGAGTAGGCCTTTACATAGCTAGGCAGTGTAGACTTATTGACATGCTTCTGGATACGGGGGGGGAAGTCTCATCATGCTCCATGTCGATGAGTCAGCAATATTCCCACAGAGATTCATTTCACTCAGATTTGACAGTTTCCTCACCCTGGTAATGGCAGCTGACAACATCCTTTCACATGTGACCTAGCTGGATACTTGCAGAGGGAAAGAGAAATGAGGCCATTTTCTTTCAAGGAAGGAGTTGTACTGCTGGCCAGGATCTGTAGGGTAAAAGATGGGGTCCATGCCCAGATTCAGGGAACGTGATGCTGGGAGGATAATCTAAAAGAAGAGAAAGAGAATTAGGCCCCTGGCTCAGCAAAACTAACCAAGAGGTTGTCTCAAGTCATGAGCTCTGGCTTTCTGGAAGATAACCCTTAAACTTTCCAATTCCTGAACTGGGAGTTTGATGTTGCTGTGTTGGAAGCAGGCAATCGAGGGGATATGTCTGGAGTGGGATCTGCTTAATGTGACAAACCCTCATCTGAATACCCTAACCCTAACCCTAACTGTTGGGAGCCGGCCATGGAGGCCCACTGAGCGTTAGGGATCAGGGAGGGCTGTTGACCCCGAGACCACTAGAATGCCTTTGGGAGCTGTTGACCCCATTCTCTTCCACTTTTTCTGCTTAGCACTACAGCCAGAAAGAACTCCTGCAAACTCAAGCATAAAACTCTGAAACAGAGATGAACACAGCTAACTTTAGAAACTCATTGTTCCCATTTTTCCACAGACTACAGTTTTGGCCTTGGCACAATTCACAGTTCAAGCTTGGGTCACATCTAAGAGCCTTAGTGCTGGTCACAGGTTTTTTAGTATTGTGATTGAGATTTTAAGAGATTTATGTAGAAGTAGAGATGATTAAGTTTTAAGTATAGATAGAAATATAAGGTTTAGAGTAGCCATTTTGTTAGTAGATTGTAATCAGTTGTTCCAAGAAGTGACCCACTGTGAACTTTGTACTGGGCCACATTCTTTAGGAACTGGTTCAGACTATATTTGTTAAGAGTTTCCATAGCAGTTGTATAAGTTAGGATTAGTAAAATTAACATAGAATAGAAAGTTAAGTGTTGGGAGCCAGCCTTGGAGGCCCGCCTGATTGACAAAGTCCAGGTGCGCTGAGGACCCCCGGTCGCAAAGCGAGTCCGGGCAGCTGAGGCCCTTCTGTCTTCCACCTTTGCTGTTGATACAGCTGAAGAAATTCTGTGCAGTCGTGGAAGAAGAAGATGGCATGTTTATGCAAAGTACTCACAGCTAACCTGGAAATGTCATGGTTCATTTTCCCATTTTCCCACTATGCTGCTTGGCCTTTTCTAACATATGCAAGGGTTTAACGCTGAAGCACATCAAGAATGCTTTCTTTCACTTGGTTATAAGTTACTAGATATTGCTTAAGTAGTAAATGATATAAGTATATTCACTCCTTATTTGATTTAGGATTATGCAGTTTAGTGTTTAGACATAAGGTTCTTTAGAAGCACAAGTTTATAGTAAGTTCATTATGAATTCATTATAAGTTCTAACACTTATCTAGGAGTTATGTAGGTGATTTATAACACTGTTTTCACTGACTTAGGATAAAGATTATCTTAAGGTTTTTACTTAATTCAATAGTTAAAAAACTCTAAGTTAACATTTATAAAGTGGGTTTTCACTGAACTCATAATATACTAATCAGACACTTTGATGACAACTTAGCTAATGACAGAAAACAACCTTGGGGGCCTGGGAAACATTACTAAAAGCTTCTTTTGAGTTTTCTTTAGAAACAAGTACTGCAGGATAAGAGAAAAGTAACAAAGACACCTGGACAAGAAAGGTGATTACAGAACTCTGAAGGCCATAAAGCCCCAGAAGGAAGACTACTGCTAAACTTTCTAGAGACAGTTCAAGGACTGTAATTTGGGACTTTGGACTAAAACTATCATCTTTGGCCTTATGAATAAGACTCATTGTCTGAATGTTTACAGGGTTCTTGGCTTGTTTATTGCTAAGACCACTAGATGGTGGTAACTTGTAGAGGATATGTACGTGAAGGAATTTTCTTTGTCTTGCCCCTTTACGTATGGTATAAAAGCTCTGTGTTAACTAACATTAAATTGTCATCTGTTCAAGAAGCAGGTCTCCGAGTATATTATCTTCATCTTTCACCTATCCATCTCTCCTTCAGGAAATCTCACGACCCAGCAAGGGGCTGGTCCCCTTCAGTTAAGAATAGGTTAGTCATTGTTAAGGTGTTGTGTGTTTATGGGTTTTAAGGTTATTGATTATTGAAAAAGTCATGGTACTAGTAGAAATCATTGTGTTGCTTTTGAGGAACATTAACCAAGCATTAGGAACAGAAAGATCATTTTGGGTTTGTTCTTCCTCATGCTTGAGAAAAACATCTGGTGGGTGGAGGAGGCCCCTCATGCACCTGCTTTTGTGTTCACGTGAAAGACATGTGCATATGACTATGCAAAATTTGGGGATAAATACCCACTGTATACTTCCAATAAATGGCTTCTGCTCAATCCTGAACAGTTGTCCAGTCCCTTTCTTTCTCCCCAGTCCCTTTCTTTCTTTCTCTCTAGTCGCCAATGCCATCCCACCTCCAGAGACCCCTGACCTCTGCAGGAGCTGGACTCCCGCACCTAACCCCTAACCCCTAACTCCTAACTCTAACCCTAACCCTAACCCTAATATTACCATGTAGCCACAGAGATTCATTTTCACACAGATTTGGCAATTTCTTCACCCTGGTAATGGCAGCTGACAACATCCTCTCACATGTGACCAAACTAGGTACTTGCTGAAGGAAAGAACAAGAACATCTGACACCCAGGACCATCATTCTCCTGGTAAGACTGAAAAAGAAAAAGATGTCCACCCTCAGGAGTGGGTGGCACCTGGAGACTCCACAGCCAGGAAAAACAGAGTGCTGACCACAAATTCATCACATTCACAGCATCTCCTGTTTTCATTGTGGGTCTTGTCTAGGTTTGCATTTCTTCTATCCTCTTGCATTCAAACAGCTATAGTTGCTTGACTCAGGTGAATTCACAGGACCTGAGGTTTTCAACACACATTACTTCTCTTTTATGTAGAAACTGACATGATGACAGTTTGCTTTAAGCCTGTTGTTCTGCAATGTGTTTGCCAGATCTTAGTAAGAGGAGAAGCAAGTAGGAAAAGAGTCATGGCACATCACAGAATGGGGAATAGAGGTAGGAAAGCAGCCGTTGTTGGAATCTATGCAATGCCTCTAAAAACACAACCCATTGGATGAATTGCATCCACATTTCAACACTGTCCTGCAAACCCTCAACTGTTTTAGTCATCTTCATAAACTGTGTGTCCTGAGAGTAGCCCCACAGAATGTCCTTTCTCCTTCCTCCTCAGCTTGTTGTCTGCAGAGTTGACTGAGCACGTGTCTCATCTGAAGCATCATTCCCATGTATCCCCACTATGTCCCAGTCAGAAGAGGATCCTTTTGTTTTTGTTGGTGTCCTTGAATAATTTCACACCGTTGTGTCTGCAAGCACTCCCTGCTGCCTCCCACCTAAGTCAGCTAGTACTTTGTAGTCTCTCATTTTTTGTGATGGACCTTTTGGTCTTGTCACTTCAACAGGCCCACCAGTGAACTAGCAGTGGTTAACATTCGTCAAGCCTTTTGGGTGCCACAGACTGAGTGTTCTTTGACTCATTCCCTGTGTTCAGACTGACCTAACTGGATCCAGGTTTATTTGAAACCTAAGTCCTCAATTGAGGAAGAAAAATTCCGCTTGCTTCATTTGGAAATGCACGAGTACTCTATGGTGAACACAATAAAGCTTCAAATGAATTCTTAGGCAGACCCCACAGTCATCAGAGCTTGAAGTCTAGATCAGGCAGACTGGTGTCGCTTCTGTACCCAGACAGGTGTCTATGATCAACTGTCTTTAGAAACAGACTTTAGCATGGTGTGTGACTATGAGCATAGGGTAGGTAGCAATCGCTGCTCTCTTGCTTTTCTCAGGCCATGACTGTGTCACCCTAAGTTCACTGTCAGAATAGTAGGCCCAAGGCAGGTATGACCAAATCACACTCACTGATGGAGCAAAGCCCCAAAGTTGTCTGTCACACTTTCTGTTCCATATTGAATGCTTTCTCCCCACTGCCCTGTTCCTTGTGAGTGTTGCTTTGGCCAACATGGCATTTTGTTATTCTCTGTCTGCCAAGAGGCCATAGCATCGTTGCCTATACCTCTGTGGAGGGTGAGGCCCAGTTTGCACTAAACACGTCCTTAAGGTCTATGTTCTGTGAGCAGACCTGTTCACAGCTAGGCAGTGTATGCCCTTACTGACAAGCTTCTAGATACAACAGGGAAGCTGGTCACTCTCAGTGTCCAAGAGTCACCAATATTCCCATGTAGCTGCAGAGGTTCATTTTCACTCAGATTCAGCAATATCTGCCCTCCTGGTAATGGCAACTGACAACAACCTCTCACTTCTGACCAAGCTGGGTACATGCTGAGGGAAAAGGAAATGTGGCCATTTTCCTTCTAGGAAGTAGGTGGGCTGTTGGCCCAGGATTTGTGTGGAAAAAGATTGCATCCATGCCCTGACTCAAGGTGTGTGATTCTGGGAGGATAACCTAGCAGAAGAGGGAGAGTTTGGCCCCTGGCTCAGCAAAGTTCACCGAGATAGTTGTCTCAAGTCATGATCTCCTGTTTCTGGGAGACGGTCCTTAAACTTTCCTGTTCCCACACTGGGAGTTCGATGTTGCTGTGTTGGGAGCAGGCAGTGGAGGGGACTTGTCTGGAGTGGGATCTGCTTCATGTGAGAAACCCTTGTCTGAATTCCCTTGTAGGAACCTATGTGATACAGAGCATCTGACACACCCAGGACCATCATTCCTCTAGTAAGACTGAGGAAGAGGAAGAGGTCCACCCTTAGGAGGTGGTGACACCTGGAGACTCCACATCCGGGAAAACTGAAAGTGCTGAATATCAATGTTTCAACCTCTGTGCCCACCACAAATTTGTCACCTTCACAGTGTCTCCTGTTTTCATTATGGGTCCTGTCTAGGTTTGCATTTCTTCTACCCTCTTGCATTCAAACAGCTATAGTCACTTGACTCAGGTGAACTCATGGGACCCGAGGTTTTCAGGGTCCCATGAGTTCTACGCATTGCTTCTCTCTTGCATAGAAACTGGTATGATGCCAGTTTGCTTTCAGCCTGTTGTTCTGCAATGTGTTTGCCAGATTTTGGTAAGAGGAGAAGCAGGTAGGAAAAGAGTCATGGCACACCACAATATGAGGAAGACAGGGTAGGAAAGTACCATTGTTGGAATCTATGCAATGCTTCTAAAAGCACAACCCATTGGATGGATTGCATCCACATTTCAACACTGTCCTGCAAACCCTCAACTGTTTTAGTAATCTTCACAAACGGTGTGTCGTGAGGGTAGCCCCACAGAATGTCCTTTCTCCTTCCTCCTCAGCTTGTTGTCTGCAGAGTTGACTGAGCCTGTGGCTCTTCTGAAAGACCATTCCCATGCTTCCCCACTATGTCCCACCCTGAAGAGGATCCTTCTTTCTGTTTTTTTTGCTGTCCTTGAATAATTTCACACCATTGTATCAGCAAGAACTCCCTGCCACCTCCCACCTAAGTCAGCTAGTACTTTGTGGTCCCTCATTCTTTGTGATTGACCTCTAGGTCTTGTCACTTCAACAGACCCAGCAGTGAACTAGCAGTGGTGAATGCTTGCCAAACCTTTTGGATGCCACAGACTGAGTACTCTTTGTCTCCTTCCCTGTGTTTGGACTGACCTAACAGCATCAAGGTTTATAGGAAACCTCAGTCCTCAATTGAGGGAGAAAGTGTTTGCTTCATTTGGGAATGCATGAGTACCCTATGGTGAACACAATAAAGCTTCAAATGACATCTCAGACAGACCCCATAGTTGTGAGAGCTTGAAGTCTGGATTAGGCTGACTGGTGTCACTTAGGTACACTGGGATTGTAGATACCTGTGTTTAGAAGCAACATTTACGGTGGTATGTGACTATGAGCATGGGGTAGGTCAGCAATTGCTGTGCTCTCACTTTTCTCAGGCCATGACTGTGTCACCCTGAGTCCAATGTCAAGATAGTAGGCCCATGGCAGGTGTGACCCACTCACTCACTTATGGAGCATAGCTCAAAAGGTGTCTGTCAGACCTTCTGCTCCACATTGAGTGTCTTTTGCCTACTGTCCTGTTCCTTGTGGGTGTTGCTTTGGCCAACATGGCATTTTGTTATTCTCTTCCTGCCTAGAGGCCATGCATTGTTGCCTGTACCTCTGTGGAGTGTAGGACCCAGGTTGTACTAAACGTGTCTTTAAGGTCTATGTTTTGTGAGTTGGCCTGTTTACAACTAGGTAGTGTATAGCCTTCTTGACGTGCTTCTGGATACAAGAGGGAGCCTCATGAGGCTCAGTATCCATGAGTCACTAATATTCCCATGTAGCCACAGAGATTCATTTACACTCAAATGTAGCAATTTCCTCCTCCGTCCTGGTACTTGTAGCTGACAACATCCTCTCACCTGTGATTATGCTGAGTACTTCCTGAGGGAAAGGAAAATATGGCTAATTTCCTTCTAGAAAGCAGGTAGGCTGTGGGCCCAGGATCTGTGAGGAAAAAGATTAGATCTATGTGCAGACTCAGAACATGTGATCCTCGGAGGATATCCTACCAGAACAGGGAGATTTTGTTCCCTAGCTCACCAAAACTAATCAAAGTGGTTGTGTCAAGCCATGATCTACAGCTTTCTGAAATCCAACCTTGAAGTTTTTCTGTTCTCACACAGGAGGTTCATGTTGCAATGTTGGGACTGGGCAGTGGATGGGACTTGGTGGAGAGTGATCTCCTTAATGTGGCAGACCCATATCTCAATTCACTCATAGGAAACCTGTCTAATACAGATCGTATGAAAGCCCCAGGCCCATCATTTTCCTGGTTAGTCTGAGGAAATTAGTAGATTCTTAGGAAGGTATTGACTCCTGGAGACTCCACATTCACGGAGAAGCAGAGATTACTGAATATTTGTATTTAATCTTTTTAGCCACCCCCATGTTTCCCTGTACACAATGTATTTTTGTTTTTGTTATAAGTCCTGTATAGGTTTTCATTTCTTCTACCCTCTTTCATTCGATAACCAACAACTACTGACTAAGGTGTACTCCTATACCCCAAAATTATTTGTAGACATTGCTTCCCTTATGTAGATTATTTAGTGTAATGTCTGTTTGCTTTTGACCTGTTGTTCCTCAACATATTTTAGTTTAGTTTAGTTTTTTTAACCAGAAAAAGACACTAGGAAGTGTGTTATCACACATACCTTATAGAGAATAAAAGTCTGGAAGGCAAAAACTTTTGAAATCCACAAAATACCTCTAAGGCTATATCTGTGTGTGCATGGCATACCAACCTCACACTTTGCTGCAAACCACTGACTCTTTTAGTCATCCCTGAAGACTGTCTGTCAAGAGGGTAGCACCACAGAATGTCCTTTCTCCTTCCGCCTCAGCTTGTAATCTGGAGATTTGACTGAGATAATTCCTCTTCTGACAGACCATTCCCATCTATCCATGCTGTGTCCCACCAGGAAAAGAATCTTTTTTGTTGTGATTGAATAGGTTTGCACCATTGTGTTCTGCGACCACTCTCTTTGGCCTCCCATCTACTTGAGCTAATTCTTTGTGATACCACAGGTCTTTTTATTCATTTGTTTATTTTGGGATTATGGGAGGTTTGGGGTTGTTGGCAGGTGGAGCCTATCACCGAGGCTGGAGTACAATGGCAGCTCACGGCCACCTCAGCCTCGACCTGCTGAACTCAGGTGATTCTTCTACCTTAGCCTTCCCAGTAGTTGGAACTACAGGCATGCACCATCATGCCCAGCTAGGTTTTTTATTTATTGGAGAAACCAGGTCCCACCAAGTGTCCCAGAATAGTCTTAATCTATGGGTTCAGGCAGTTCCCAGCACTTGGCTTCCCAAGTGCTGGGATTACAGATGTTAGCCATGGCTCCTGGGCCCTCATTTCTTTTTAATAATCTTTCACCCTTCCAACTTTAACAGGATGAAGAGGGAACTGCCAGAGGGGAAAGTTCCTTAAACGTTTGAGTTGTCATAGAGTAAATACTATTCAACGCCTTCCATATTTTTTGATGTTCTGAACTCATAGCAGTCTTATAAAAGAAAACTATCCTCAATGAAGGGACAAAAACTCCACTTGGGCCCTGGCAGATGAGTGAGTACTCCCTGGTGAACATTATGCAGCTCTGATGATGTCCCAGAGAGACCCTTAGATCTGGAATGCTAGATCGGGTTGAGAGGTGTTATCTCTGTAACCAACTATCATACATACATATTGTTTTAGGCAGTCATTTGCCAAATGTACTCTTTCTCCTGCCCCAGACAGGGAGGGATTGTTTTATCACTCTTAGGGGAATGCCCTTTGCCTCTCTGGGCCCGGCTGCAGGCCTCCCTTTAGAGCCAGCTCACCACTGTGGTTTCAGTCCCCTCTGGTGTTTATCTTCAGTCTTCTTCACCCATCCAGCTTAGCAGAGAGATGCAAGTGGTAGAAGAGCAGGATGTCACCTTGACTTCTTCAATTCACCATGGCCTGTCTGACTCCCACCAGCTGTCCAGAGGCACTTTGTTCTCATCTGAGGATCAGCAAGCCTGCTCAGCCTTGGATGTAGCCTGTGAATACTCCACTGTGAAGTTCATGAAGCTCCACTGGTCTCACAGGCAGCCTCTATGTTTTCTGTTTACTGCAACTTGTACAGGCTGAGACAGTCATCCCTGCAGGTAGGCCCTGTGGACTTATTATCTGGAATCTGGCTCTTGGATCCAGTTTTAGGTACAGACGTCAAATGGGTGGAACTGTCCTGTTCTCTTGTCCTGGGTTACTACTCTGTCACCCAGCCCCTTCTCACAAGAGAATGTTGGTACCAAGACAGACCAGAGAGGGGAAAGGTGAAGGATAACTAGAAACCTCTGACCACCAGTAGCTCACCTAGAAAACTTTGTGTCATGGACCTCCTTCCTTAAGACCTCTTTGATGAAGTTACATTGCTAGTTGCATTTCCTGGGCAATGCCTTTCACTCTTCTCTGGCCATCCACATGTGCTGGCAGTTTTGTCCAATTATTTTGGCAGTCTGTTTTCATGATTCCTGTGCCCCAAGACAGGTTCTCTACTCCTTTGAAGCAGTCTAGTGTCCCATCCTCCATGCATGGCCACAGTTTTCGTCCTCCTTAGAACACCAATGATTTTTTTCAATGTGAGTTTATAGTTTCAATCACGTGTCTCATCGCAGTGTTATGTTCTCATGGAAACTGTCAACAAATGGTGTGCATGATGGGCTGCTAACCTAATTTATGAGCAAAGTATAGTGGTTTCCATTTTCATAATCTCCAGAAAATATTCTCTGTTGAGCCAATGTCCCTTGAGATAGCATCTTTATAGAGAGTGTACAGGAAAAAAAATTAATTTTCATTTTTTCTTCCTCATTTTATTTTTTGTACTTTATATTTCGGGCAGTTGCATGTGCTTTATTGAGAGTTTTATCCACAAATCATCTTGTAGCAAGAGCAAGTAACTGTGATGTCTCCAGTATATCTGAATATTTTGTAATGAAATTAGCCATTATTAATTTTGTCCTCCGTATTATTTTGGTGAATAAGTGTCTTTTTCATGCTAGAACCATCACCTTTACTGTTTTCCATTTCTCCCTGAGTTGTACAGAATCAGAGACTTTTTTCAGCTACAGTTCCATGATACTCTCTGTGAAAAATCAGTCAGGGGCTACAATGCTTTTGTCTCTCCTCATGCCCTGCCTCCAGAATTTATCCTCTCATCTCCTCTGTCCTGGAGATTTTATACAGCTGCAGAGCCCTCTCTCCCAGAAACACCACAGGCAGAATGTGGCTCCCCTGAGGAGGAAGGAAAATACTCAGAGACAAGTTTCAGAAGTGAGATGCGTGTGATGTGGGATGGCTCTGCCAGAGCTTCATTAAACATGGGTTAGAAGAGGCCAAATTCATCAGTGCTGATGGGCTGAGAGGAATGAATGGACCATCCAAATTATACAAGGATGCCTCTTGTGTGTGGGTTTATTATGATGATGTAAGAATAGTGTGTAGAGTGCACAGCTGTGACCCCAGCAGTGGTATCACAAGTGATCTATTTCACCCTAAAAGATGTTTCAAAATATAAGTTAGTGAGACTTAGTATGGAAAAGAGGGGAAAACAACATGATGAAATTAGGTTATGATAACTAAAAACATTACTAGAGATTACTTCTAAATAGCAAATACAGGGGTCCAGAATAGGGAGGTCTGAGCTTGCTTAGTCTTCTCCAATCAGATTTGCTGCTTCAAGATGTTTTCCTCATCAACCCAATATGAACTATGATAGGATCTTACTGAGTGTCCTAAGTGACTGATGGGTAAGGATTCATCAATTGCATCTTGAATGACTATGGAGGGGAAACCAGACCAAGAGAAGAATTTGTGGACAATGACCTGGAAGCTGAAGGCACCTGGGGTCAGGGAGGGGCCAGCCTGACTCCAGAGAAGAACTTGTATAAGGGAGTGGTGGGAAGTGATGCTGGATGAGGATGTGGGACCAGGAATAAGAAGGATCACCAAGGCAGGTGAGGAGTTAGAGTCATGTAGTGGGCAGCTAAGAGAAAGTTTGCAGAAGCAGAGTAGGTTCATGTGATTAGAACAGGACATTTCGGTAATAGAACTGGTAAGACAATTGATAGTATGTAGACGGCAGAATTGCTAGACTGTGAGGAGATTGGATGAGGAAGGGTATTGCTGTTGGGAGTCCAGTATCCTATGGGCTCAGAATGAGGGAGATGAATAGAAATATGACTAATACTTGTAAGAAAAGTTAACAAGCCTTGGTGAGAATGAAGATGTGTAGAAGGAGGAGAGAGAGGAGCTCCAGAGTGATGTGCAGCAGACCCTGAGGGCCACGTTCCCCTGCTAAGCCTGATTTGGATTGGCATGAGGCTACTGGAGTCTTCATTAGTCCACCTTCTGAGAATATGTATCCATCTGTTGGTAGAATACAAATAGTTTACATTAGGGAGAGTGCTGTCCAGACCCCACTGGAAGTGCAGGTTATATAAAGATTGCACACTGTGTTACCTTTCTAAGGAACCACAAATTCTGATTCTAAAGCATTTTGGGGCCCTAAGTTTCCATGTAGAAACTGGTATTTCTACTATATTGCGTATGGCTGCTAACACACACTATACGTCATCAGAATGTATACGTGTGGGCAGGTAATAAAAAAATTATAGGCAACAGGAAATTAAAAATATTCCAGCACTCTGAACAGTTCACCTTACTTAGTATTTGGTCTATAGCATTCCATGTCCCTTTTTCATGGTTCCTCCCCAAAGCCTTGAGGCTCTAATTCTTCCCCATTCTTATATTCTTGTGTGTCATGCTTCTACTCCTATCCTCTCTAGAACTTTGTCTCTAGGCTACAGGGAAAATTTTAGTAATAATGGATTAATAGGCACGATCCTGTTAGCCAGTTTGGTGGGTGGATTTTTACATCTGGGACTCTCTAGCATGGGCACCTGTCATCTTACCATCCCCAGGAACAAACATGGAAGGTGATTTCCCATTCATTTATGTGATATGTGTCTTTGTGGCTTGGGTCACTGGGTGTTTTTGCTGAGAGGCAGGGACATCAGAGATGGGTGTTTTGGGAGTGCAAAGGGAAAACTGGAATTATTCCTACTGAACCTCCTTATCCTATTAACTCCCACCCAGGAGGCCTGTCCTCAAGGACCTTTGAGTGGAGGGTTTAGCCACCATGTGTCAGAGGTACAAGCTTCACACTTGTACCTGGAGCCAAATACCATGGTGGAGCCAAATACCATGGTGACCAACTCTCAGCATCTGCAGCTGCACCCACAATGGGATCGTGGCTGTGGCTTAGCCAGGTGGGACCTGTCCTTCACCACCTAGAACGTCACAGCCCTCACTTATTCTAGAACCACTGACCTTTCCAAATTCAGGAAGGAAAGGAGAACTAGAAGCTGTAATGTGAGTGTTGGCTATCATGGTGTGGTGGGTGGAAGAGACAAGGTGGTCTCTCCATGCTTGCTCAGAGTCAAATGGAAATCCACGATGCTTAATGAGTAAGCAAGAGTGCCTGGGGATTAAGATCAAATCTGCTCTTAGGCGTTTGTTTGCCACCTACTGGTTGCTTGCCTCAGCTGAGTAATTTGTCTTTTTGGCATTTACATCTCAATTCCCTCATCTGAGAGCCTGAAGAATAATATCTTCATGCAGTCATGGTTGAAAGCAATAATTATGACAATTTCCAGAGTGCCTGATTTAATAAGAATTGCCCAACAGATGTATGAATATATACCATTCTGGAAAAATTAATACTATGAAGGTGGCTTCACACACATTGTTTCATCTGAGGCACACCAATTTTTAAGATTTCTACATTCTAGGGACCCCCTCTTTTTTTGTTTTGCTTTCTCGAAAGTCTCATTTGGCACTTTTCTTCCTCTTTTCACCATTCCTCATTAAGCCAGTTTCCCCCCACTAGGTACTGTCCATTCAGTAAAAATGTGAATTCTGGGTCCACAATGCAGTCTCTAGACATAACCAGCTTATTTTTCTATTTCTCCCTCTCTGTTTGAAATAAAGGGTAACTCCACATGTAAAGTATACAGATACATCTTTTTTATGATACTCCCATTAGTTCACCATCTCCACTCCTCCCATGACTGTGTGCTCAGTTACCTTCTCACAATGATCCACTTCTACTCAGATGTTCTTTTCTTTTTTGAGTTGTAGTCTCACTCTGTCACCCAGACTGGAGTGCAGTGGCCCGCTTCCGGCCACCACAGCCTCGACCTGCTGGGCTCTGGCGATCCTTCCGCCTCAGCCTTCCAAGTAGCTGGTACTACAGGCATGCGCTACTACGCCCGGCTAATTTTTTAATTTATCGTAGAGATGAGGTCTTGCCAAGTTGCCCAGGTGGGTCTCGAACCCGCGGGCTCAGGCAATCCACTCACCTCAGCCTCCCAAGGCGTGGGATTACAGGTTGAGCCACCAAGCCCGGTTTTCTCAGATGTTCTTAAAACCAAGCTCCCAACCCCTAACATCCACTCATCTGGGCTGTGTTCATTTTTTCCTTCTGTTCCTCTCAATATCTCCCCTTGGGACCACTGGGACTGCCTGGTACTCATCTGTCAGTGAGACCCTCATCTGAGAAATGAGAGCCATTTTTCCTCAGGAAGAGGTGAGGGTCACATGAGATAACAAGCACCAGTCTGTCTCCATGGAAAGGGCTCACAGAAAGGCTCAGTGAGTGTTGGAGGATGCATGGTCCCTGACATGTGCTGTGATAACTTGTATTGAAACATCTTCTCTCTGGTCTCTCTTTTGCTTTTTCTTGGATTCCCCACAGACCCAGGCAAGATACACCACACTGGCTCAGGTATTCTTTCCTGCTCCCTTTCCCTAGAGTCTTGATCTTAAACCAACCTCCAGGCAAGAGTAAACAGTCAAGGATAGAATGAATGCTCTTCGTTTTCTTCTTCTTTTCCTAGTGATTCCTACCTACTCTCTAACAGATCATCTGTTTCTCACCACATTTCCTCTCCTTTATTCTCCTCATATTTCTAACTTTTTCCAAGTCATATGACCAGAATAGTGATTCTAATGTTATCTTCCATATCTCTATGTAATAATTTCTTCATTAGATTATTAGGTAGATATATGTATTTATGTCATTTGTCAGATCCATTATGTATATTTTGTGTATATATTATATAGCAAAGCAATCACCAACACTTTTGATACCATGGACTGGTTTCATGGAAGACAATTTTTCAATGGACCGGAGATGGGGAAGGGTGGGATCATCAGGCATCAGATTCTCATAAGAAGAGCACAACCAGGCTGGGCTCAGTGGCTCAGCCTGTAATCCCAGTACTTTGGGAGAATGAGGCGAGTGGATTACCTGAGCCTGCGGGTTCAAGACCTGCCTGGGCAACTTGATGAGACACTGTCTCTACAATAAATCAAAAGTTAGCTGGGTTTGGTAGTGCGCCTGTAGTTCCAGCTACTTGGAAGGTTGAGGCAGAAGGGTCGCTGGAGGCCAGCAGGTCAACACTGGGGTGGCTGTGAGCATGTCACTGCACCACTCCAGCCTGGGTGATTGAGTGAGAATCCAACTCAAAAAGAAAAAAAAAGCACAGCCTACATTTCTTGCATGTACAGTTCTCCACAGGGTTTGTGCTTCTATCAGAATCTAATGACACCACTTAAGTGACAGAAAATGGAGCTCTGCTTTCCTGCTTCTGACCCCCTGCTGTGCAGCCTGGTTTCTATCAGGCCACGGACTGGAGGAAGGGCATTGCTGGGGACCACTGATATAAAGCATATATCTATATGCAGTTTTATAAATTACCCAGATTAATCTTCTTTCCTAGTTCTTTTCTCTCATGTGATATTTCTTGAATTTTGATTTTTGATTGAGCATTATAATCTTTATCCCAGAAACAGCCTGTATTCACTGTGACTTCCTTGCCATTGCCTGATAGTCCCAGGAGCTATGTGTATTTATTATCCTACTTTTCTTGAATACTTTTGTCAGTTGAAATCACCTTTGTCTCCTGGCTACATTATCAATTATTGGTTAATGTAAGAAAGAGCAACACAAAAGAAAATGTCAAAGTGTCTCTATTGGTTTCACCTCACTCCTTGAACTTTCCTGTCCAAAGCTGCTTTTCTTATGTGATGTCCTTCTTTGGCAAGAGTATGTCCCAGTAACATCATGGGTAACAATGGATGCTATAGGCTGTGGTTTTACTTTCAGATCTGGGTTTGGAGCCTCCTCTTGGAATGAAGAACCCTCTCCAGCTGGTGGCTAATGTTCCTGAAGGTTCAGCAGACAACACACATGGATGTCAAGTCATTGGCCACATGTATGATGCCAATGTCCCAAACAGAAGATTCTAAAAATAAAATGTCCATCCCAGAAATGGAAACTAGCATGCCAATTCCCTGGTCTTCAAGCTTAAGCTATAAAGATAACTCCATCTTTGCCTCTTGGATGCACTTAGATTCCTCTCTTTCTCTCTGTATGAGATGACAACTCATTCTCTCATTTCTCTTTTTTGTTCTCTCCAGCAGCTGGTGTTCCTCTGTCTGGTCTCACCTCTGTGTCCCAGGCTGCCGCCCTACCAGCCCCTGTCATCTCCAACTCCTGTTTGCTCTCTGCACTCTGATCTGTTCCCATTGCAGCTGTCCTGATAGTCCCTCTCACAGCCACAGCAGAGCCAAGCCCCACTCTCCTCACTCAAGTAACATATTTTAAGCTGCTAAACACATGGCACTTTGCCTGAAATCACACACTTTCTTGGCTTATTTGTCTTCCCTCCTTTGCATCCTCAATTCCGGTGTTTCTTTCTTTGGTGAGCATTGCTTTAATAAATCACTTGCACATAGATTTTCCTTCTGGGTCTGCTTGAGCAACCAAATTAAGTCAACTCTGAATCCTCACCTTGTACATGAGAAAGAGAAGTGTGAGAACTGAGCACAAAGAACCCCAGTGAGAAAACCAAATTGGAATCTGGGTCTTGGGTGAGAGTTTGCTACTGACCTCGAGTCAGGTTTGCCTTCAGCCCCAGCTGTGCAGTCTTTTGCCAATGTGGATGGAGTTTCCAGGGACTCGATGTCTGCACAACATGAACTCCTCTGATCTGACATTAACTCCAAGACATTTATGACTCTTTAAAGGGAAGGCTATTCAATTTAGCTGCAGAGGGCAGGACTTCAGAAGTGCATAGATCATGAGGTGCATTCCAACCTCTTCTTTTTAATCTCATTTTTACTTTTCCTAGTTGAGCTCAGAATCTAAAATGCAACTCAGGTGAATCTTGAGGAAAGAATATAAGAGAGCATTGTATGAATTAAGTTTAAGAAAAGTGAGTCCAAGGAGCAGCTTATAAATACCCAAGATGACTAACAAGAATACAGGACAATCTTTGCCTCAGACAGGAGAGTGATTTAACTGAAATTGTCAGAAGGAAGAATAAAGTCCATGAAGTCACTGGAAATTAAGCCAATTATAAGAGAAATGGACAAAGGGAAGAAAATGATGGAAATTTGGGTTGGTCCATTCATTGTCTCTAAATCGTGTTGCCATGTAAGAACTACCTGGTAAGATTTCAATGTCTGAACTCACACCTTGAGATTCTCTTAGTCCAGGATGTAGTTTTGGCATCACTAGTTTTTGAAAGCTCCCATGTGATTTTAATCTGTGGCCAAGCAAGAAAAAGACCACTGGTCTACTCTGATCTCAGGTTATCAATATGGAAGTGTGCCAGCTGTGTGACTACCCCAGAGAAAAGGTCAAACCTCCATCAGTCATTGATGGGAATCTATATTCCCCTCTCTACATTATTATTTGTATGACAGGGAAAAAAACTGAGAGGAAAATGAGTGGATTAGACCTATAGCCTCTGTACTTGAAGCATACTTGCTCAAACTGTTTTGAATACAAGATACAATAAGAAATAATCATTACATTAAGTCTCAGTGTACAGAAAACAATACTTGCCTTAAGACACATATTGGAATTTAGTATTTTATTTTCAATTTTAAAAGCAAAACCTGTGGTTTATATTTCCCCATATGGATTTGTACATCTATACTTCTTTATGCCACTCTTGACACTGGCATAACATATTGAAAATAATCTTCTCAAAAAAGCACTGTGGGAAAAACAGTAGGGTCTGTGGGTAGACTGTAGTAAAACACAAACTAATTCTTTGCAAGTTTGACTTTAGAGTCTTGTTGGTCTAGACACTGAGATAGTTCTACAAATGCCTTAAGGTATAGGTAGGTGTGGAATTCACTTAAGAGAATTAGGGAGTATACATTGAACCGTGGTGACACTCCTTTACAATCTCTAATTTTTTATTCTGTTTTGAGCCTCT